CTCACAAAACACCCGAGAGAGTTGTGGAGGGTTCTTCCCTGCGCTACCAAACCAAATCTGAGAGGATTCTGCTCTCCTGCCTTTTTGATTTTGGTGCCGTGCCCGGGAGCAGCTCTTTTTTCCCCCTGGGGGGATTTGCAGATACGAGCGTGTGCGACTCACAAAGCTTATTTTTTTTTTTTTTATATATTTCAGGAAAGTATCTCAGACAAAAAAGGATTGACTTCCAGCTGCCTTACGACATCCTCTGGCAGTGGAAACACAATCAGGTACAAGACGAAAAGTTACCGGGTTGCCAAGATTACGCTCAGAAATCTTAGAAAGAAAACAGCAGGATTCTGTCATGAAAGCTCTAATATCTGCCCCGTATATTAATCAATGTTCCTGTTGCTGCCGCCGTGTGAGGATTTGCATATGTGTTTAATGGGCAGAATTATTCCGTTCCCTTGCAAAATAGGAATCCTGTGGGTTTCCGATGAAAAAAAAAAAGCTGTTAATTTTGCTGCAGACTTTTATTCTGGTAGCGTGCCTGCTTTCTGCGCTGAGCTTGTTTTAGACACGCCTCGAGAGAATTCAGATGTGCTGCCAAGAGCGCTGAGAAATTTCAGGCCTTGTTTTTCTTGGATCAGTCCCAGCAGAGTGGAATTTATTTTTCACTCGCGAGCTGAAATGTTCATGCTGAGGAAAGAGGAGGCACTGTTTAACTGTCTCGTTCTTTTGAAAGAGCTTTAAATACGAGCAAACCTAAAAATAGGAATTTTTTAAAATTTTTTTTGTTTCCCCCTGAGAAGTTTTCACCAAGTGATTTAACGCAGGATTTAAGGCTGGAGGGTAAATCTGCCCCCGGCTCTGAAGCGCTCTCGGACACGTAACTTCAGCGTGTAAAGGGTGAGACAAATTCCCAGGTGGCTGTGGCTCCAGCTGCCCTTCGTAAAACCACCAAAATCTCATTTTAAAGTAACGATCGTTGTTGACATTTCAGCCAGGGAGAGTTTCTTGCCATGTGTTGAAGGTTTGTTACGTTTCTCCTTTCTATCATCTTCTCTCTATCCAATATTCTCCATCTCTATTCTCTCTCTGTTCTCTATTCTATCTCTATCTCTATTCTCTCTATTCTCTCTCTATTCTTTATTTTATCTCTATTCTCTCTCTATTCTCTCTCTGTTCTCTCTCTATTCGCTCTCTGTTCTCTCTCTATTTTATCTCTATTCTCTCTCTGTTTTCTCTCTATTCTCTATTCTATATCTATCTCTATTCTCTCTCTGTTCTCGATTCTCTCTCTATTCTCTCTCTATTCTATCTCTATTCTCTATTTTATCTCTATTCTCTCTCTATCTCTATTCTCTCTCTATTCTGTCTCCTCTCTATCCAATATTCCCTAAATAACAGATACATGTGATTATTTCCTTGACATTTTCCGGGATATTGAAATCCCTCGCGGAGTTTTGTTTGACGATGCTTGTGTGGTTTATCCAGGACCTCCCTCCCGCGGGCGGTTCTGCGGGAAGGCTCTTAGCGCAGGAAACTTGTGCAAAATACGTAATAAATTGGAATGACTCCTTGAAGCTTGTTTCGAAGGATGGAGTATGTAGGAAATTGTGGAAGCTGCCCTTTCCAGTCATCTGGAAGTCAAACCTGCCTTTCTCTTGGCTCCTGCCTGTAGGCACAGACCTCACAGAATCGTTCCAATCGGAAAAGACCCCTTAGACCATCTCATCGTTTTTCTTTTCCACTTCTTCAAGTGGAAATCCCCCCAAAGATGCTCTCTCTGGAGCAGGTTTAAATAGTTATTCTTCAGTATTGGGAGGAGCGGCGATGTTCAGGATAGTCTGTCCTCATTATCCATATTGTGAGATCAGAATAAACAATACCTTAGGAAAAAAAGGCTCGTTAAGCCTAAATTCTGATTATTCGGGCACTTTCTTTGGACCTGTTGGTGATGCAGTTGGAGCCTGAAGAAGAGAACGCAGACGTATTTTCTGGTAACGGTGACAGACCTGTTACGTGTGTACAGAACAGTTTCTCAGACTCTTGTATTGTGCGCTTCTGCGACGTATTAACATTTTCTTTCTTTCCTTTTCAGCTGTATAAAAAGCCAGATGTCCCACTCTATAAAAAAATCCGCTCTAGTAAGTCAGATCTTATTACTAAAGTGCGTTAACTGTGGAATTCTCTCATGACACGCCTCCTCTCTGTCGTGCTCTTCAGCCTACGAAAGGCACTCCCACCTCCTTTTTTATTTTGCTTTACGTGATCAAATGAAGATTCTGTAGATAAATAATTCTGTTTTTCTTCACCTGGAAAGAGTTCTTTTCCCTGTTTGCATTTGGTTTTTTGTTGTGGTGGTTTTTTTTCCTTCCAGATGTCTATGTGGACGTGAAGCCTCTTTCTGGCTATGAGGCCACCACCTGTAACTGCAAGAAACCAGACGACGACAACGGAAAGGGCTGCGTGGAAGATTGTCTTAACAGGTTAGAAAGAACTTGACTGACCATGTAAGACGGTTACAATCAATGGTTTATTTTCCGTCGACTACTAACAGCTTAAGAAAGAGGCATGCTGGGTGCAACCCCTGTACTAAAAGTGTTGTCACAGAGCGTGCAGGGTAACCTCACGCTGCACGCCTGCTCCCCTGCCTCTTTCTTCGGAGGAAGAGCCCCTTAAAAGCTCCGTTTCGCTCTTTAACCAGAGCCAGGCTGTGAATCTTTGTGTGAGTTATACCTTGAAAGCAAGAAGCGTTTTTGTTCTTTAATAACTTCTGTTTAACAGAGCAGGTTTTGTATTTATTTTTCCTCCTTGTATGATAGATCTGAAAGGATGCCGCTCGCCTTCCTTTAACAATTTTGTCCTTTTTTTCGTTTTAGGATGATCTTTGCCGAGTGTTCACCCAACACCTGCCCGTGTGGTGAACAGTGCTGCAATCAGCGGATACAGAGGCACGAATGGGTGCAGTGCCTGGAAAGGTTCCGGGCCGAGGAGAAAGGATGGGGTATTCGTACCAAAGAACCCCTGAAAGCGGGACAGTTTATCATTGAATATCTGGGAGAAGTTGTTAGTGAGCAAGAATTCAGGTAGAAATATTTATTTGCTGCTTCGGCCTGCAAGGCTCCATAAATGACTTTAGCATCTATTATTGTTGCCGGGAAATCCATAGATAGGGGAGAGGAAAAGAGGGGGAAAAGAATGTTTTTCTGGTTGCAGCCACCAGAAGGAAGCCTTAGAATTCAGCGAGTTTTTATTTTCAGTCAAACGGAGTGACTGGCGTTTGGAATGCATCCTCTGCCACATCTGCTCTGGAAACGCCACATGGGAATTTGCCACAAGGACTGTGCGGGGTTTGAAGGGTGCAAGGCAGAAGGGAGGGCAGAGCTTTTGCAGATAGCTGGGAAGAGAAAAGAACAAGTGGGAGTGTCTGTAACCAAGGAGAGGAAATGTGGTCTTGTTAACTGCCTGGCATCATAGGATAGTGGAGGTTGGAGGGACAGTCTTGGTGCCCTTAGAGCTCCATCGAAGACAAATTAAATCTCCTCACGCAGAGGTACCACTGACACAAGTGATGTCATTCCAGAAATAGGGTCCGGTCCCAGCTAATGGTAGGAAGAAGGTGACTGTCGCACGCCGGCACACACACAGGCACTCCTGCTGCCCTCTGGTGCGCCCGCTCCTCCGCGGAGCTGCATCCACCCCTGGGGGCCTCAGAGACACGGCCCTGGCAGAGCGGGTCCGGAGGAGGGACACAAAACTGATCCGAGGTCTGGAGCGCCTCCCCTGCAAGGACGGGCTCGTAGAGTTGGGGCTTTTCAGCCTGGAGAGGAGGAGGCTCCAGGGAGACCTTCTAGTGACCTTCCAGTGCTTGAAGGGGCCGTGTAAGAAAGATGGAGATGGACTTTTTAGCAGGGCACGTAGTGCTGGGACAAGGGGTAACGGCTCTAAACTAAACGAGGGGAGATTTAGACTGGGAATAAGGAGACTGTTTTTTACACGGCGGGTGGTGAAACACCACCAGGTTGCCCTGAGAGGTGGTGGAGGCGCCGTCCCCGGGGACATTCGGGGCCAGGTTGGACAGGGCTCGGAGCGACTGGATCTGGTTGAAGGTGTCCCTGCCCGTGGCACGAGATGACCTTTAATGGTCCCTTCTGCCCCGAACCGTTCTGTGATTCTATGTACACACCAAGGAACGTCTGCTTGCGTTTTCTCTTCCGTACACAGGTTGTCAACGTGAAATGTGTACAAATAATCTGCAGAACCCAAAAGGGAGCATTCCAGAAGAGCAAATTTCTAAATTCTAATCCAAGCTCTGTCAGTGGCCTTGACTTATAAAAATAGGTATAATAACGGTTTTCCTCCATCTCTAGGTGTACGGTTCTGTTACGTATAAAAGATTAGAACTGCTTTTTCTTCAAAACCCGCTCTCAGAATTCTTGACCGCGCTACTGCCACGTTAACTCCCTGTTTGAATCACAAATAACTTTGCTGTGTTGCTTCCTAGGAACCGGATGATCGAGCAGTACCACAATCACAGCGACCATTACTGCCTGAATTTAGACAGCGGAATGGTGATAGACAGTTACCGAATGGGCAACGAGGCTCGTTTTATCAACCACAGCTGTAATCCGAACTGTGAGATGCAGAAATGGTAAGGGAAATATATTCTGTTTACTGGAAGGCTGGCCTACCAGTGACTAAGATATAGATAGAAAACCACATCGTCTAAGAGAATCTGATCTAAAAATAGGGAGGAGAGTCAAGCTGGACGGTGTAAATATCGACTGCCACGCTTGCGTCGCGCCTAAAGAATGTCACCTTTTCAAGTGTTAGATATTTTGGAGACAGGGTTTAAGTTTTCCTGTTGTTTGTCACGCTGTTAACCTGCTACAAATTGAGAAGCCTGGGTAATGCCATCCTGTAATCTGTGTGTACGTATTCTTTCTGCCTTGTCGTTCAATTTTTTATTATTTTTTTTAAGAGCAGGCAAGCAGGGAAGTAGTCTGATTTCAGCACGCCCCATGTCATATCAGTATTACGTTGACTGAAGAAATCTGGTGCCAGACAGGCAAGAAAGAAAACACCTGGGAGAAATGGGCAGTGACTAACTCAGAGTGAGGCAGAGAGGGTCGTGGTGGGACTCGGCTGCGGGGACGGGGCAGCGAGCAGCTCCCGAGGCTCAGACGCTTTTAGTGGATTTAAGTAGCAGCGATCAAGATCTGAATTTTAAAATCCAACACACACAAAAAAACCCCACAGCACAAGTTACAGAATGGGAGAGGCAGTTGGGTTTAGTGGATTTAAGCAGCAGCGATCAAGTTCTGAATTTTAAAATCCAGCTCAAACAAAACACCAAGTTAAAGAGCGGGAGAGGCTTCCTGCGGTTTGTGGAATGACGCGTGATGTTCAGCTCAAGCTCTGGATTTTGGGCGAGGGCCTGAACCTCGGTGGTTGATGAGTAGATCTGCCGTGGTAACCGGTAGAGTTTGCAGCTTCTCGGTTTGAAGCACAACTTTGTAAATACGGCGTTCAGGTTTTTGGCTTTAAGAGTTTATTGGAAGAGATAAACAGGAGAACAGCAGAAATGAAGAACAAGCGTGATCCGGGGCACGGCAGAAGTGTTGCTTCCCGTCTCTAACCTTCCCACTACGTGAGCCAAGATAATTTTCTTTTTAATCATTGGGAATATTTTGTTATATTTTCGCTGCAGGTCTGTTAATGGCGTTTACCGGATTGGATTGTACGCGCTTAAAGACATGCCTGCTGGCACCGAGCTGACTTACGACTACAATTTTCATTCATTTAATGTTGAAAAACAGGTGAGAATCACAGCGCGAGACCTTGGAAAAACTCTTCGGGGACAAACAGTTCTGCAGAGTTGAAGGTCAATTAACAAAATCTGTTGTGTCCTATTTGGCAGAACAGATTCTTTATAATATTGAGAGAGAATCGAAATGTTTGGGGGTTTATTTAAAATAATTTACCGTGTGGTCTTTTTGTGTTTGTTTGATTGTGGTGGTTTTTTTCCCAAAAGCAACTCTGCAAGTGTGGTTTTGACAAATGCAGAGGAATAATTGGAGGAAAAAGTCAGCGAATGAATGGACTCTCAAGCAAAAGCAATCAGCCCGTGAGCACCCACAGAAGGCCTGGGCGGTCAAAAGAGAAAAGGAAGTCAAAGCACAAACTAAAAAAGAGAGTAAGTAGTGAAAACAGCTCTTTTTTTTGGAGTAAGGTTAATAGGAAGTCAGGTTTGTGCCCTCAGACCGAAAATCTATCCATTTGTGTATTCTAAACTTCTGAGAAATGCTGTAGAGAAGTAGCACAGGTTCTGTCTCGGGAACTACTTTCACGGCTTTGCTGAGTTCTCGGCACAGTCTCCCTGTCCCTCAGAGCGATCTGTTTTCCAGAGGGGCCACACGCCGGAGGAATCCAGTGAGAGCGTGAACGCGCCCACCAGGCTGACACCTCAGCTTCAGATGAAGCCCATGTCTAACAGAGAAAGGTGAGGAACCTTTCCAGCGGGGTTTTCCTCTGTGCAAGTGTTGGAGTTATTTTTTTTCTAGAATCACAGAATGTTGGGGGTTGGAAGGG